GGGTCGACGAAAGAGGGGGAGGCCTTCAACGAGATGGATTGACACGGTGGCTGCGATGATGGGCTCAAGTATAGCAGGGATTGTGGGGCTGGCGCGCGATCGGGCAGTGTTTTGTTCTGCTGTGCATGTGGTCGCTATGAGTCAGAAACGACTCAACAGCACTTAACAACAACAACAACAAAGTCATCTTAAAAATCAACACCAGTTTGGCTTACGTAGTAAAAAAGATCTGCCCTCAACATTATCCTCTTTTAAGAACTATCTACATGGAATGAAACTGATAACCACAACTTAAAAGATTATATAGGAACCTTAGGGGCAGTGAGTTCATGTTAATGAGGGAGGAACAACTTAGAAGAGGAGGCTGAGAATAGTTGCATAATTTGAGGAATGTTATCAGTGTCACTAAATGGTACATGTAAAAACTGCTGAATTATGGGTGTTTTGCTGTATATATTCTCAACAACAGCAGCAAAAATTAATAAAATGTAGGAAAAAAATAACTTGAGAGAACTATTTGGAAAGCCCAAAGATATTTTAATTGATGGTAAAACAGAATACATGTTTGAGAAATAAGTAAATATAAATTCAGTTTGTATTCTAGAAAGTTTCTTTCACTTAAAAAAATGTTTCAGCTATTTTTCTTTTTCTAAACCTTTAACCTTTAATTTTTTGTTTTTTAGGGTTTTTTTTTTTTATTGGAATCACAGACTATACGAATAAATGCTGAATAGAACATGAACATTCTGATTTTGTATTTCCTTATATAGGGTAATGCTCCCAAGTTGGTTTACACTCCATTGACAGATAAATGCTACCTAACTCTCACGCAAGCGATGAAGATGGGATTAGGAGGAAATCCTTATGGACCAGCAGGAACTGGAAAAACTGAATCAGTAAAGGCTTTAGGAGGACTTCTTGGAAGACAAGTTTTAGTGTTTAATTGTGATGAGGTAGATCAATGAATATTTATCAAACTATGAAATAGTGTGCTAATAATGTTTGGGTTAGTTTCATGAAGTAATATTAAACTAAATGTGAAATACTTTATTTTAAAATCATTTACTTTTAAATTACTTGATGATGAAATTGATTTTAATTGAGAGTAAAATAGAGAGAGGTTGCACATAGTAGAAATATGGTAGTGCTAAAATGATTCTAAGGAGAACTATTTCAAAGAAATAATTTTTAAAAGTACCGATTGAAGGTTTATGTTACATTGTAAAAAAATGTTTTTAGTGAAGATAATATTAAATAGGAAAGGAAAAATCTTAAAATCACTTAATTTTACCATTTTGGCAATAGTGTCTGTAGGATTTATATTTATGTTTAAAAAGTAACTGAAACAAAATCTCGTTTGTTTTGATCTGTATATGTTTCAAAATACTTCATATGGATCATTTTGTTTATTCACTGACATGACCCTGAGTTTTCAAGGAGTAGGTATTTAATCGCTATTTTAAAAAGAACAAAAGAGGCATAGTTGGATAAAATGATTTGCCTGACCTTGGAAATAAATGGCATAAATATTACATTATCATTAGAGATTTTAATTACTTTTTAATGAATATAATTTTTATTGTTATTTTAAGGGCATCGATGTGAAGTCAATGGGGCGGATATTTGTTGGTTTGGTGAAGTGTGGGGCCTGGGGTTGTTTTGATGAATTCAATAGACTGGAGGAATCTGTGCTCTCTGCAGTATCTATGCAAATCCAGACAATACAGGATGCTTTGAAGAATCACAGAACTGTATGTGAATTACTTGGCAAGGAGGTACAGACTTCTGCTGTTAAATATGTTGTGAATTCAAATAATTAAAATATCGATAAGACTTGATGTTACTCATACTCAGGCAACTGTCTTCTGGCACACCTGTTTTTAATCTGTTACCCTTGTTAGACCTTTTTACCTATGAAATGTCTGGGGTTTCTTATTCCTTGTTTGGTCCCACTTCTGTTCATTTTAAAACTTTCAGTATTGAATAATTCAGTTATAATATTTGCTGACATTTATTGAGTATTTACTCTGTGTTGGCACTATACTAAGTGATTTAGTGCATTATCTTGTTTAACACTTAACACAACACTTCAATGTAGGTACTAGTATTTTGTCCCCTACTTTATGGATGAGGAAAATGAGGCTTGGTAAGTTAAGAGTAAGTAGTATAGCTGGGAATTGAACTTGGTTGTGTCTAATTATGAAGCTAATATTTTAAATTATTATTCTATATAAATGATAAAGCAATAAGCACTAAGCATCCCTGTTCCTCCTTTCTTCCCATCAAACCCAAAATCAAAATCATTGCCATGGAGTCGAATCTGACTGATAGCAACCCCCATTGGGTTTCCCAGGCTATAAATCTTTACAGAAATAGATTGCCCCATCTGCCTTCTGTGGGGTAGCTCGTGAGTCTGAACCACTGACCTTCTGGTTAGCAGCCAAATGCTTTATCCACTGCATTACCAGAGCTCCTTTCCTTCTCCCCATAAGAAATTCAAACCAAATTCACTGCCATCGAGTCAGATCAGACTCATAGCAACACCTTAGGTTTCCGAGGCAGTATCACTATGGAAGTAGATTGCCCAACCTTCCTTCCAAGAAGTGGCTGGTGGATTTGAACAACCAGCCTTCTGGTTAGCAGTCAAATGCCTTAGGCACTATGCCACCAATGTTCCCCTTTTCCCCATAGGAGATGTAAATTCATGTTATTAAAATGTAAACTTATTTGTGGAGGAAATGTAATCTATATATAATGTATAGTGCTGAATACACTGACAAGTTAGAAGTCTTAAATATTTCTGTTTATCTGTAATAACATTTTCATAATATACACATTTTTCTGGGTAGGCAAAGAAAGTAAAGATTCGTTCTAAATTGTAAACATGTTATTTATATGTGATTAAACTTTTTCTTTGCAAAGAAGGGAGAATCTATTATGTGAAAATTACCACTCTGCTATCAAATTTACTTGCTTCCAAGCTCTGGTAGCATAGTGTGTAAGACATTTGTCTGCTAAGCAGATGGTCAGTGGTTCAACCTCACCAGCTGCTCCGTGGGAGGAAAATGAGGCAAAGTATTTCCTTAAAGATTTACAGACTTGGAAACCCAATGGAAATCATTATGAGTCAGGATCGACAAAATGGTAATGGGTTTATACTCCTCTTAAAAAAAAAGAGCTCTCCTTTCTCCTAACCGGTGCTAATCCTTCTACGAGCTCTGGCAGTTCAAACCCACCAGCCACTCCTTGGAAGGAAGATGGGGCAATCTACTTCTGTAGTGATACTGCCTCGGAAACCCAAGGAGGGGTCACTCTGAGTTGGGTCTGACTCGACGGCACATAACAACAACAACAACAACATGTTTTTGTTACCTGTTTCCCAGGAACTTTCTTTTAGTTCTCTCCTCTCCTATAGCTTTAGTCTTCTCTACTTAATACTCTTTAGTGTTTAAACATTAAAAAGCAAACAAACAAACAAACAAAAACACTGTGGTCAAGTCAATTCCAACTCATAGTGACCCCTCCTTGTGTTTCTGAGGTGGTATTTCTATGGAAGTAGATTGCCCAGTCTTCCTTCTGAGGAGTGGCTGGTGGGTTTGAACTGCCAGTCTTCCAGTTAGCAGTCAAATGATTTAGGCACTACGCCACCAGAGCTCCCATGCTTTAAACATACTTGCATCTTTTTTATCTTAATAATAATTAAAACATAAGTGAAACTTTCTGGATTAATTTATCCTTCCAACCATTGTTCTTTCTCTTCTTTACCATCAGCTTTCTTAATTTTCCCACTCTAGATGTTTCTACTTCTTAATTGCTCATTCATTGTTTACACACATTTTAATTTGGCTTGCACCCTTAGTGCTTTGCTGAAAATGCTCCTATGAGATACTTTCATGATATTCTGTACTTCTTTGTTGTAGAGTTTGTCACACTATAATAGCCTATTTGTATTATTAATAGACTATAAACTCTAGAAGGGCATGAGCCATTACTTCTGTTTAGAATTGTCTCTCGAGTACTTAGCAAAGTGCCTAGTCTTAGTAAATATGTGTTGAATGAATAGACATTCAAACTAGTTACCATGTCTTAAACATTCAGCCTCAAAAAGTGATTATAGAGAACCTCTGTAAAGCAATGTAATTCCCAAGGAGTTTATTATACTTTGGGTAAGGAGATGGTTAGAACCTTGGAAGTTACTGTTTGCTAAGGTGTAAGATTAAGATTTATGTATAGAAACGTGTCACAATAAAATTTTTCTAGCAACATTCTATATTTAAAATTTTACATTTTTGATGACTGTTTTAAATTCATATTTCAGGTAGAAATAAATTCCAATTCTGGAATTTTTATTACTATGAATCCTGCTGGAAAGGGCTATGGAGGAAGACAAAAATTGCCTGATAATCTTAAGCAGCTTTTCAGGCCAGTAGCTATGTCTTGTCCAGACAATGAGCTTATTGCAGAAGTTATTCTTTATTCGGAGGGCTTTAAAGATGCTAAAGTGTTGGGCAGAAAATTGGTAGCTATTTTCAATCTATCTAGGTGAGTTATCCGTTAAATTTTTTTTTGTATTTTTGATTGAATAATTTCAGTGATTGATTATGGTTATTAGTTATATTTTTTTCACATTTGCCTAATTTACCTGTTCAATGATTTTCATATTGGTGATTATATTGTACTTAAGATGTTGACATGAAAGATTTTAGTTTGAACGATAAAAACATATCTGACTCACAACTACTTACTTTTATTAATTACTGTTCATTTGATCTTTCCTTTTTTCCTCAAAATATTTATAGTAGATTACTGCAGATAAATAATTCTTATTGAACTAATTTACCAGCTGACAACTTAGAAGCTACTGTTCTTTGTATGACACTGTCTGCAGTCTTCTTTTTTTGTAATCAAGGTTGTCTTTTAGCTTTTTTGGGTAACCTAGAATTATATTGCATGAAATTTAAGAGAACAGGAGAACTAGACCAAGATGAATTGATTAGCAACCTTAGGAATAAAGGTAGTAGTAATTGACATTACTGTCTTCATTACTAGTTCATATAAGGGTCATCCTGAACCTTGAGAGCCGTCTATCTTCAACAGTTTACTTGGGTGATCATTGTGTTTGATAGACTCCTTACCTATCTAAATTAATAGAATATCAATACTCATTTATATGTATTAGTGGTTATATTCTGTATTTCTTTGGATGTGATGATAACAAGATTTTCTTGTAGTTACTTGGTGTCTTAAGATTTTCATGTCTTAACCACAGGGAACTTCTGACACCTCAGCAACATTATGATTGGGGTTTAAGAGCTTTGAAGACAGTTCTGAGAGGAAGTGGAAATCTCCTTAGACAACTGAAGAAAAATGGCACTAAACAGAATGGTATGATTGATTATTCCAAATATAATAACAACTTATTTGTTAATAAACTTTAAGTTTTAGAATTGTTTCATATTTACAGAAATATGATAAGGATAATATAGAAGGTTCCCATGAGCTTTGCCTCCAATTTCTCACATTGATAGTATTTTTACATTAATCATAACTAATGAACCAATATTGATACATTGTATTTCATATATAAGGTCCATACTTTGTTCAGATTTCTCTCTCTCTCTGTCTCTTTTTTTCACTTTTTATCCTGGTTTGGGTGAAGAGAGCAAATTGGTTTTCCATTCAACAATACATACACATTTTATTTTGTGACATTGATTGCAATCCCCATAATGTAACAGTGCTTTTCCCACCTCTTCTTTATGTTTGCCATTTCTAGTCTTTTTTCTTTCCTGTCTCTTTCTGCCTTCTGAGCTTTATCCTTGGGTAAATGCTGCCCTTTGATTTCTTATGGTTGATCGTTTTAAGGGGTACTTACTTCCCTGGTGTTACTGTTCCCATTATAGGCCTGTCTATTTTTGGCTGAAAATTGGGTCATAGGGATTCAGTTCTAGACTTGAAGAAATGTTCTTAGTTTTTAACTGTTCTGGTTACCTAGTGCTGCTTTGACAAGAATATACCACAAATGGGATGGCTTGAACAAACAGGAGTTTATTTTCTTTCAGTTTGGGAGGCTAGACATTTGAGTTCAAAGTGCCAGGCTCTCGGGATCTAATCTGATAAATCCATTCTAACAGGCCAATTTCCCTAAGCCTCTGGATACCTTCTTCTACATTATACCAAGGAAGGTCTGGTACTTCAACTTGACTTGAGGTAGGCCACCACATAATCCATGCCTCAGTTGTTGTTAAGTGCCGTCGAGTCGTTTC